GTAGGAGATATAATAAGAATATGGGAATAGCCCTCGGGAAAACCATGAAGGAGGAGACATTACGATCTCATATCAATACTCACGGACACATGTGTTCCTCCACGGGTGTGAATCCGTGAAGAATAGCCGTGACTTTCTCTCTCGTCCTCGAGGACGTCACGGGGAAAGACTGAGGACGATCAAAGGAAGAGAAAAAGCTCGTTCGAGAGAGAAGATAGGAGGGAGAGAACGGGAGAGAAAGATACGCGCCTCTCTTTTGATACCAGGCACGGGCCATCTGGCAGAGCGATCTTTTATTATGGTATCTATTCCTCCCGTGGCCTTTGAACGATGGAGGATTCATTCGCGCGGAAGTTGGATCTTTGATTAATGGGTGACGAGATAAACCGCATCGATCTCCGACGATCAATATCGACGGCGACGGCGACGGTGTTGGGAGTCGCGATTGTTTCGCGCTAGTTAATTTTTGCATTCAGCCGTCGTCGAGAGATAACCAACGAGATAAACCGCATCGATCTCCCTTCGAGCCAGTTTGCGTGTGAGTTGCGTGCCGAATCGTGTTAAAACATTCTGTGCATTCGTAATCTATATTAATCTCGTGATAAGAAAAGTATAGTTATTTTAAAATTAGTATTTCTTTAGTATTCTATACTATAAAGAGAAAGAAAGGGAGAAAGAAAGAGAGAGAGAGTGTGTGTGTGTGACATAGTTTAAATTCACTAAATGTAAAAATGTAAATTATGACATTTCTGTGTGATATCTCAGCAGTTACTTAGCGTGCAACAAAAATTTCAAAATTTCATACCTTGTATAATATTTAAATAAAAATTAACGCACAAAAATAATCGCTGCCAAATACATGGAATTAACGCGCAAAAATAATCGCTGCCAAAAATAATCGCTGCCATCTCATACCTTGCATAATATTTAAATAAAAATTAACGCGCAAGAATAATCGCTGCCAAATACATGGAAAAATTATTGTAGTAAAAATTACAGCAAAATTCTTGTAATCTTGAGTTATAGAGAATTATTATTGAATTTATTATATATTTATTTAAAAATGCATGTATTTGACTTTTTGCTACAGAATTATTGTAATAAACTTGAATGTTTTTCATATCGTATACCATGCAGGTAGAAGAATCGTCAAATTTCTATGATAACAGATCTGAAAAGGAGAAAACACTTAATTTGGGAAGTCCCGTTCAACGGGGAAGAGACGTAAGCGCGATTACGTTTCCTCTTTCACGACGCTTTGATTTGTCTCGCAGAAGACACGACGAGGAGCAGCGTTTCTTCGACACACGGCATAAGCGGTGTGTCGCGTCACGTCCACGTCATGTCACGTTGCGGCACGATTGTTCGGTGGCTGCTGCATGGTCGGATGGGGTGACTGGGTGACTTTCCGCGAGTGGCGTACTCTGCGTGCGCTTTCACGGGGTGAAATCCACGGGAAAGCCCAGGGTGAGCCCCATAATAGCCCTCGACGAGGTCCCACCCTCCTGGCAAACAGAAAGGCCTCGAAAGTGTGCATGACCGCAGAGTCGCCGCCCCTTGGGCATGGCGGGGCGAAATTTGATTATGCCCCTTCCACGTGGATGAACCCAGCCGAGATTCATCGGCGCGGCTACCCACCAATGATTTATGCCACTTTTTTCTCCTTACCGCAGCGACAAGTTGTCTTTGTCGTCGTTGGCCGACACGTGCGTGCGTATGTATGTGTGAACCCGTCATTTTTACTATATCATACATAGGGGTTGAAGGCAAAGATTAGTTAGAATTGAACATTTCGTGTGTTTCAGAATTTCAGTGGAAACAGGATGTTATTTCGGCACTCTAATAATTGTGTTCAGTTTCTGATCGATCCTCCTCTTTTTACTATTGCAACGATTGATATTTTTGTTATAAGTAAGAAGAAATCGATCTCTTAGATATTCAATCAAAATTAAATTAAAGCCAATAAGAGGCATACACAAATCAATTAGAGGCAGTATGAGGCAGGTAATAATGCACAAAGCATTATTTCACAATAATCACAATTTAAGTATTACAATTAATAACACAACATTTAGTAACCGTTAAGTAATAATCTAATTAATAACTTCCATTTTTTATATAATCACAATATTGCGTGGACAAATTTGTTTTTTTACGACTACATCATTCTTTGGTAGACAGATAACTGCGCGTAGCTGTTAGACGTTCTCTCGAACTTAGTTTCGATTGACATTTTCAGCTTTCTCTCGCATGTCTCGCAAATCTTTTAATCGACTCTCTTCTCTTTGCGTTGAATATTATTCATATCATCGATACTGTTTACATATTTCTATTGTGACGCTCCTTCGGGAGTGCCCGATCAAATTCACTCGGGAACGTTAAAGTCATCAATAAAAAAGGATACACGCGAGAACAACAAACAACAATAAAATATTAAGTACAGCAGTTGGGACATCGGGTCGCATTTTTTTAAACACTCTGGATTCCCGCGTGTAATGCGACTTTTTGTAGTCGACCGTAGGCACAATACCTCTTTGTAAACCGCAACGAACTGGGAAAAAACATGTTCCCAATAAATTCAGTAGAATTGAGCTGAAATCTGTGATATTCGTGGCAGTCTGATCCATCATCGGTCATTGACAGGTACACAATGAAACGTCAGGGAACGATAGCGCAAGGCGCACAGCGACGCACCCACAATCGGTCATGTTTCCTCCTTTTTTTCGTTTCAATCGAAGTAGACTAATTTCTAGCGATTGTACACCGTGAGCTTAGCTATCATGCAAAAAAAAGTGTCGGGACTTGATGGATCTCTTAATTTTTCTTAACACATTGTGTATGATTCACGAGATATCTTGTGTTTAACGAACCGCACGTATAAAGGACGACTCACGAGATATCTCATTTGTATACTTTCTTATAATCATCTACTAATGATGCGTTGAATTTAAAGCAGCGCGACCGTTTGTTTATTATTACAATAATCTCATGACGATCTATCACGACAATATATCGAAACAAAAAAAGTCAAAATGTAGAAATAGAGTGATATTTTTGCACTGTTTTGTTTCATTTATTTCATCATTATACACACACATATATTTATTTCTCTCTACTCCTATTTTTAATTTATTTCTGCCTCTATAAAAGAGTATGAAAGAAGAATTACAGGAATTCACGATTTCTATTTAGTGAATAAATTCAGTACATTTTTATGACGTCAAAGAAACCTTTTATTTTTGCATTAATTACTGAATTCAATAAAATAAAAATTATCAATAGTTGGAGATAGACTTGCAAGCATTTGACACTGAAAAGGGCTCTGGTGTTTGTATGTCAACAGAAATTCGCGACACGCGAATATATTGTTTGTCGAACCGATAGTTATATACATACGTGTGTTTGTGTCTCTCTTCTCTTATTTCTGAAGACCTGCAACCCTGACGCACGAACGCCGATAGCTGCGGCTCGTTGTTGTGACTTCCGGCCCTTCAAGTGAGACGGATCGCGGAATTCGCCGCGAGAAGAGGTAGACAGAAGTAATCGCGAAGGCCGATCGATCGATCGACTTCAGATCGATCCATCCATCTTCAAACTGACGTAAACTCCATGTATTTGACGCGCGCGCCAAAGGAGAGAGGTTCCTCGCGCCGCTCGTAAGATTCTACGAGGTTCCAAGGGGTGCTTCTCCACCGACATCACGAAGATCGGAGAACGGAGAACGCGCGGAGGTACGAGCGACGGGCGGAAGGTTGGCGGCGATGATGTCGTGACGAATGCGACAAAGGGCAGAGCCCGGTATCAATGGCCCCCGACCGGTTTTGTAGGAACATCGTTTTGACAGAAGGGTGTCGTCACACTCGGTGAAAGCGAGACGGCCGACGACGAGAGAAGGGTGGGTGGTGCGGCTCTGCGAGCGCGACTCTCCGCTTCTGGAGGGTGGCGCGACTTTCTCACTCTCTCTCTCTTTCTCTCTCTTTCCCTCCTCGAGTGTTACAATAAATCAACGGCGCGCTTTTGCGGAGCCCTCCACCCCCAGAGAGACCTTCTCGCTGTTACACACAGGCAGTATATTCCACATACGACACGACACCCCGAACGCGAGCGCTTCGAATCGTTCGGTCCGTCCCGGCCGTCATTGTGTCTAAAGTGGCCTCTCCGCCGATTTTCGAACGCATCAGCTTCCGTAAACAATTTATTCTTTTAGTCCGCGTAGCCGACCATGACCGAGCCGCGTCTGCCTAAGTAATCGATGAAAATTAAACGACGCGCGCGCGAACAACAATCTTATATAATATAAAAAACGCAAGATGCATGTTAGTCAGAAATCGATAAACAATAACACAGATCAATATTTTAATATCAATTGTCAGGTCTTCATTTGCCCCTCCAGGGTTACGGAATCTTTATTTTTCACTTTGTTGTATTCAATAATCAGTAAAAAAATGAAGTTCCCCCCCTTATCTTCCTTAATCTATTCTATGAAAGTGCAATATATTTATTCTCAGTATTATGAACTGGTATTATGTCGGATGCATTTACAGCCACATAATATTGTATTTTTTTTCTATTTATAAAGGATTGTCTCCCCATAAATCTCTTATAAATGAAGTCACCGTCTAAATTGGTTACCCATGACATAAAAGCGGTTCAACTGTGATGTATTCTTTTCGAAAGTTTCTAGACAAATTTCTAAATAGCCCGGAATTTGTTAGCTACCACGATGCTTCATGATACTGTAAACTGTTTTTAGGATTTTACTGAGAAAACTAATGGATCTAGAGGGTGTATACCCCCCGAAGAAGCCATGCTTAAGAGAACGGGGTGGGCCCGATAGGTCTCGTGATCCCTCGATATCGTATCCATCCGTCCTCACATCAACCCTCTTTACCCCCTCCCCCCCGTTCTCGCGGGCTTTCCGCGCCGACCGACCGTCCGTTCGTGCCCCATCCTCTCTGCCTGCACTCGTGCTCCCCCGTGACAAAAGGGGCGAAAGCCCCGTGGCCGCAGCGACCGATTAATTCACTACAAAGGGGGATGCGTATCGCGCATCGAGCCCTCGACAGGCCCCTCTAAACCCACCTTCGGCCCTACTGCCAAGAGCTCTCGTCCCTTCTTCGCCCATTGCTTTGGGCAGAAGGACGCTACCCAATCCCATTTGGAGGGTGGGACTATTTCCTATATAAAGCTCGGAGTGAGTTTAGACACGTCAGTTTTGTATGAGCTACCAATCGCGTTATATTAGTTACAGAGTTATTGGAGAGTAGAAGAAGCAAGAGAGAGAGAGAGAGAGAGAGAGGGAGAAGCTGAAAAACAGGAAGGTTTTCTTTACCTGGCAAACAGTCAGTAGCAAAACTTCATGTGACACGATCGGAATCTCCAACAGCACGGTTTAACCGTGCACCTGTGTGGATGATGCCGCAGGATCTTTTTCAACCATGGCTTACTTCGGACACCACCAATAGGAGGTTCACGATGTTCACCATAGATAACATATTGTATAATGGACCGAAGCAAGACGACAAGCTTGTAAGGTCTTTGCCGAGTTCGACAACATCGACGAGTAACCCTTCTGCTGCTCTGGCGGTATCCGAGGACGAGGGCTCGACGTCATTGAGCGCGTTCGAGCGTACGCCGTTCGCGAGTCCGGACGTCGCGAGATCATCATCGTTCGCGAGCCCAGATGTTATGGGACCAGTGTCGTTCACGAGCCCGGATCCTATGAGACCAGCGTCGTTCACGAGCCCGGACGCTGCAGGACCATCGTCTTTCGCGAGTTCTGACGCCGAGGGATCATTGCCTCTTACGAGTCACGATGCCGAAAACTCATCGTCGACCACGAATTCGATGGTGTCCGGGTTGCTTCATACTTTTCCCAGCTTATATCCAATGATTCATCTGGGTGTTCATCCTAGCGTTTATTGCAATATCCAAACGGGACACATCTATTCGAATTTATTCGCTCCTGAATTGTACAATCAATCCGTCGAAGAGGCGGTACAGATAGTTCACCAACAGGATGTCGCCGTCAAACAAATGAAGAAGATGCGTCCCAAAAAATTCCGCTGTCAACATTGTAATATGGCGTTCAGCAACAACGGTCAGCTCACGGGTCACGTTCGCATACACACAGGTAAGCTGAAATTAGCAATATAAATTTTAATGTAATTTATACTTGCATTTGTTAAAATAGACATGACAAGATAAGAATGCACAGTGAAAATATATCTGAAATAAATGCTCAAATATTCCTAAGTTATCTTTTCTATTTCTCTCTTTTGCCCTTTTTTTAATTAAGTCAAAACGTTTCAACTTTAACTGAAATCTTCTTCAGTTCAGATACGATAAAAAACTATTGAGAAAAAAATGATTCATTTAACTAAAATTATAGTTATTTTCGTCAATTATACTTTTTGTTTCTAACACGAAAATGGTTATAGCAACATACATATGAGGTTGTCATCATTAATACTATAGTAAAATTTAATTAAAAGATGGTTTTTTATTATGATTTATAGTAAATATTTCTCTCTCTCTCTCTCTCTCTCTCTCTCTCTCTCTCTCTCTCTCTCTCTCTCTGTGATTATAGTTATATACAAGTACAAAATATTTTTCTTTCGATGTAATTAGTTCTTATAATCACATTATAGTCAATTTAAATAGCTAATTATTGTATACAATGTATCTCAAAATTTTCTAGTAAAACTTTTTTAATATGTTCTAAATAGAAATGTGAAAAAATATATATAAACATAACATGAAACATGAAATGAAATATAAATGCAATAGTATATATCAGATTTATCTTCAGTTTGATACTACAGATAAGAATAAACCGATGATCAAACGTAATCATTTGCTATTAATATATTTCTATCTTAGGTTTCCTAATTCCTGTTAAAATAGCCGCAAATAAGATAAATATCTACTAAATAAAAAAAAATATATATATATATGTTCGATCCGAAAATAATTGCGGTATTTTTATATGGATCTCTACAGTTTACTAAAAATACTGATAGAAGTTACATTCGTCATCTTCAATAACCTCGAATAGTAAGCAAAGCTCGTAGAAAGACTAGGTAAACATCGCCGCTCTATTCTTACCTTGTATCCTAACAGCAAATTCGTCGTAACAGTTTTTTCTTATTGCTATTGTAGAACATATTGAAGAAATTTGATCGCGAAATTCTGAGGTATGTCAAGAAGATCAGACAGATTAAAATTTGTTGCAATAATGCATGATGCACTTTTCCTGAAGTATATCAAATTTTGACAAGTTTATGTCACAAACGCAAAAATGTGACATCAATTTCCATCGTTTCAGGTGAGAGACCATTTAAGTGCGACTTCGAGTCCTGCGAGAAGTCGTTCACCAGGAACGAGGAGCTCACTAGGCATAAGCGAATTCATACCGGCGTACGACCGCATTGCTGTCCGCTTTGTAACAAGCGGTTCGGTCGTAAGGATCATCTGAAGAAGCACACCAGGACTCACGAACCTCGCGATCCGTACCGCGTCCCGGCGGCGGCGGCATTAGGCGTGTTCGCTTTCAGCCAATTACAGCAAGCCAGCCAACTTTCACCGTACGTGTATCACGTCTAATCGCAGAACATTTCGCTACAAGAAAGAAAAAAATCAGTCGCAAAGACTATTAAATCTCAAATCCCCATGACATACAGGATAATCGGAGACACAGGGTCCGGTCGATTGGAAGTGATACACATGGTATCGCTATTAATCAACCCAGACACACTTCCAAGGGACATCTTGTGGATGTCTTGAAGGCGTCCTTATGTTCTCAGAACGTTTACAGGACATCCTCAAGACGTCCCTCAGAAAGTCTGTGTTTGAGAATAAATTTCCGAAAGAAAATTAAAAACGAATGTATAAACGAGCGTGAGCATTTTGCACGATTAATTCTTATTAACTTATTCGCAGCAAAAAGATCATTCATTTTGATTTGCACATTAAGACTGAAGAGAGATGATAATGCATCAATAATATGATTTCTCTCTTTCTAGTCATGCTTGAAAATGTGAGGAAAATTTGTTGTGTATAATTTGTCATTTATAATAAATTATACGCTCTTCATGAATAGATTGCGTATGTGTGATTGTGTTGCGCTACAAATGTATTATTCACAATAATTTACAAGACGTGACGCGCACCACGATTGCTTTGATAACTTTAGATACCAAAATATTTTTGATACTATCACTTACACTCAAATAAAAATTCGTTGCGCGACGAATTTGCAATATGAGACAAAAATTGATACGTAATTGTTGAGAGTTTCGCAATATTTTCTACAATATTTTCTAACGAACGTTTCCGTACCTCACAGCGGTACCAGTTTCTGTGACGGCATCACTTTGCGCGATGCAATGTAATATAATGTATATATGTATTTACTTATTATCTTGCAGTTATAAGTGTTGTACTGAAAGTGCTCAGTGCTGTACTTATAATTGATATCAGTGACCATTCACTGATTCACTTTAAAAGAGTAACAGAAATAAATTATTCATTAACTAGATAATTTATCTTTCGTATTCATCTACCATATTCTTTTCAAATGAATCGGTAAATATGTATCTGATTGAATCAGTAAAAGGAATGTTCCACCAATAATCAATGAATACTCACAGCGTACAAATTCGTTGTACAAATCCAGCTTTCTACGTTGATAGCGATGGACTTAACGACTTCTATGCGATCTGCGCGTAATGACACTGTCTTTATTCGCAAATAATAAGAACAGTCGATATTATTAACAGATTCTTTCAGCAAGATCTTACTCATTGAAGTGTTATAATTAAATCATTATAAAGAATATATATAAGATTGAAATTTAAAGTTGAAGGGGAGATAGTGTTGAATTGAACTTTCTTGTATGCGACTCAAATACATACACACAATATATATTTTATTATATTTAACAGAGATTTATTCGTTGTTGGAATAAAGTAAATGTATTTTTATAAATTAATATCGTTTAGTCTTCATGCCGTATTTCCTTTCTCCTATCTTAGCGATAATAGTAGTTCCTCAAATTTGCATTTTTCCATCGTATACATGCAATTCTAGGTTTCCATTATAAATTTATTATATTGTTCGCGTGCCAATTATCTTTATATTGTAATTGTAGATCTTAAATGCACGAACGCGATCGATACTTTTATAAACGGGATACTCTGCGTAGGCAGAAATATTAAATAATTCATAAAAGCATGTTCATAAAAAAAAAGTGTAAATAGTAATTCATGAAAGCGACGTTGCTTTTTGTTAATATCAAGATATGTTTGTTTGATTGTAACCGTAAATTGAATTTAAATTTGTAAAACTGTAACTTAAATTTGTTTGACTGTTTAACTGTAACTGCATTGCTTTCTTAAGAGATCTATGCGTCGCAAGGACGAGCGCGTATTTAAATAAAGAGACGCTACATGTTTGTGAACGCTGCCATGAAGGCCACCACCATTTTCGCGGTGATTGAATTCAGGATGGCTCCACCAGCCAACTGCAACCCCTCGAGTAATAGAGATTCCCCTTGCTCGTTTATACGATGTGTTGTAAAGGATGTGGGGTGGAGAACGGTGGGTTGCGCCCTTTCGTCCTCGGCAACGGACGGTTACCATACGCAGCCCTGTGTGTGCGTGCCCCCTCTACCGTTTTTTTACATTACAATACGTTTGTACGGGATGTTTCGCGGTTGCGAATCCACGATCCTCGCAGAAGGGCGAGAGGGCAAAAAAATGTTAGGTGTAATTAATTATCTCGGTAATCTTTCGCCTCAAAGCAGTCATGGGGTAGCTCTAAGACTCCTGCACCCTAATTGCAACCATACTGAATTAAGAAATTGCGTGTGTATGTTGAAAATAATTAAATTCTTGATTCGATAAAGTACAGATTAGTAAAATATATCGAGAATTTGCTATGAGTGTTTTTTTTATTTTTCCGCACGGTAGTAAATAATTGTATAATTTAAACTGTGATACGCGTCACTTTTTTAGCAGAAATGTGCCTCACGACAATTAATCGAGATTTGTGACATCTAACATGTCAACATATCTAATAAGATATATCAACAGATGTACAGAGGAATTTTATACAGTAAAAAATATCATATAATTTTGTAAACAAGAAATAGATTTATTATTGCAGTAATTTTTTATCCTTTTATTTATATTTTAAACACTGAAATGTGTGCTCTTAAAAAATTTACTATATCCTTATGAAATTTATCATGTTGCTTAGGTGGATCTTATTGACAATCTGTTATTGCACTCTATTGAAAACAGAGAACAAAGTTGAAAAGAATTTATATGAAAAAAAAAATTATAAAGTGCGCGTGCACTATAATGAGAGTTTCGGTACGTTTTATCAATCTAATGATATGTGGAAATAGTGGAATTTACTTCAACGTTACGATATGAAAGAGAGAAGTTCACGCGATCACTTACTTCCGACGTCATCTCTCGACTCAATATGACAGCAGCAAGGAAACGGGATTCTCAGCTTTCATTCGAAACGTAATGCGGATACGGACGCGTGATGGACAAGATTGGATAATCCGAGGAGCTATCGCGGTAGCTCGGCATTAAGTGCGACGGATTCTCACACTAGGAAAGTTTCAGTAGCAGGCGGGTAGCGGAAACCCCGCTGGGACATTCGTCGAAGCTCGTTGACACCCCCCTACCGTCCTGCAGATATATGACCGCGAGCTGTCTGGCGAGCGAAGTTAGAGCCTCCTAGAGCCTCCCTTGCCTTTCTCTCTCCTCACCAAGCTCCGCGCGGTGAGTCCTTCTCGCGAGGGTGCAAAACTTTATTCCGTTTCAAACGTCTCTCTTTGTCAATATTTAATTTTTATCTTTCTAAGGCTACTCCATCAGTTTCAGTTCAGATTTTCGCAATTAAAACAAAAATCTTTCTCACTCTCTCTTTCTCTCTCACACATACACACACATACACACACATACACACACATACACACGCACGCACGCACGCACGCACGCACGCACGCACGCACGGACACATGTGCGTTAATTATTTTATTTTTATTCTGAAACATATTTCTTTGATAAACCATTATCAAAATGCGAGATAATTATCTAGCAATATTCAATTAGTAGACTACTTTCTCATGACTGACTAACAATATGTTAATATTACAACTTACAAAGAACAATATTTAAAAAAAAAATCGAAAAGGAAAATAAAGCTTGAAAAAGAAAATAAAGCTCTTGTGATATACAATCAAAATTAATGAATGATATTCCTGCTCTCACTTGCCTTTTTTACTTTTTCTTCACTAATTTTGATTGCACATCACAAGGCGATAAAAATTGTTAGGTAATTAATTATTTCGATCATTTTTCGGGCTTTGAAACAATCATAGGGTAGTTTTAAGACTTCCACTCTCTAATCGCAAACGCATTGAATTAAGAAATTACATATGTTAAAATTAGTAAAAGATAAGTAAAAGTAGAGTGTTCCTATACTCTCACTTTTACTTTTTCTTCGTTAATATTGATATTTTCGTTATTATTCGGATAATCGTAAGATAAATAGCAACTGTACATGATGATAAGCCGGTTTTAACAAATTACGAATGTTTTAACTTGCTCGATAAAATCTGTTTGTATTACCAAAATATACGGCGCTTTACACTTATACAATAAACATCCATTTATCACCGCTCTTTCGGCCGATGTTTCAATCAGGTATCGCTTCGCTGCTCGCGCTATTTTGCGCGCGAGCCACTTCGTGTGCAGATACTTCCTTGCCGCCCCTTTTTGCCTGTACAATTTCTCTCTCTCCCACCTCACTTCTTCCTTTGACTATCCCCATTGAATCGTTCCCTGTCAAGCCGGCCTGTTGCAGACGATATTACTGGAGGGTGACTTTGCCTTCGTGACTGGGGCTAAACGATGCCTTAAACGCACACGGATTACAACGGCTCACCTTAATCTCAGATTACACCGGCGGCCTTTTGTCATTAGATCGGGTTGACACAAAGAAACATGCCGGCAGAGCCGCTTACCCTCGAAGAGAACCACTTGTGTACTCGCCCGCAAGGACAAACAAATCGTTTGTTTGAAATCTTTCCTGTCGAACTTTCACTTCCATATTTGTGTTTGCGTATAAGTCGTCCGTGTATAATTCAATTCAATTATTACGTCGTTAAATAGAGAAAGCGTAGCGAAACGCTTATACAACAAAAGACAAACAAGCTCTGTCAAACTAAATTCTCGACGCCAAGAATAGCCAAGAGACAGAACGTGATGAAAATTACGCATACAGTGTTTGTCACAAACAAATTCAGTTTTCTCTAGCAATCATTGGAATAAGGATTTCGGCTACTTTCAGTAACATCGTCATTGTAACTACCTGAATTTACAACGGTCTCTTAGGTCCTTGGCCCTAATAGCTGTCGGCTCTAAGTTACCGAGATCTCACTGTCAACAAATACAAATTCTTCCGCCTTTACCGTTCATTCTTTTCGGCTCCTCGTGCTTCCCGTCTACGCGCGTCCATCCAAACATTACCTGCGCTACCGTGTCGCACACAGCACCGTGCACAATTACATGTCCCTCGCACAGCGGTGCACGCCGCGGGTGGGCCTGTATATCGGAATGTTTGCCCGCGTCATTGTTGCGCATCCGACACTCATCCGACATACGATTTCTCTAACGTGCGATTTAAAAAGCGTTTAAAGTCACCCTAATAGGAGTCACCCGCCACCCTCCCCTCCTCTACCCTCGCCCGTGCTTTCTTGTCACTTTTTCTCTCTGCTCTCTTGCTCCTCAGAGCGTCTCTCGCCACCTCAGGTGTGTCAGGATGAGAGTGTGTTCTCGCGCTCACCAGGAAGCCGCAGGCACACCCGCGGCGCCGCTGACTCCCTGATATATGGATTGCCCATATTCGCAATTCTCTCCCCCAGGCGCGACAACGTTGCACTGCGTTCAATGAATACGCGCGAGGATACTCGTCTATACGTTGCGCGCACCTGAAAGGCACGACAAACTCCGTTGCTCTCGCTCAGGATGTCAGGACGGGCTAAGATGGCCGCGAGGACGAGTAGTTTGTAGACGAAAGAAGGTGCGATCCCAAAAGGTGTAATGCGGTAATCACAGCCGAAGCGCGAGCTTTGAAATCGATCGATAAACGTTTGAGACTGGTCGCAAACGACTGCTTCGAGGAAATCATTGCAGGTGGAAAACCCTCCATAGTAAAACAATGATTCGATTACCATATCACTCTGATGAATGATCTGATGTACGATGTCACAACGATCGTAGTTATTGGATTTATAGTTGTGACATTTATGATAGATTATGTCGCAACTTCGTCTCTTCTTTCTCAGAGTGTCTTATTATAAGGTATTGAAATATCGGAGTTGAATTTCATTGCAAAATTATTTTATTGCACATTATTTGACGAGAACAGAAGCGAATAGTTTCTCGTTCGGAAACGAAAGAGAAGAAATATAGATATATGCTTTCCCTCGTATTATATTTCGTTTTTAAATAGCTCAAGGAATATTTATGTTGTATTAAATTTACTCCTTAGTTTTATATATTGGTTGGCCATAAACATTTCCAGCTGGATATGATTCAGAGCTTGCACCATAGTTGCAAACACAGTAAAGTCTCTTCCAATTATTCGGTAAGTCGTATACTATTTTTCCACAGCCGATTTTGTTAGCTGTATCAGACACCATTTGAGTATAATGGCCAGTAGGGTCGAAATTTTCCCTATAAACAGATTATTTTAACACAGGTATGTTACAAATGCACTTTGAGACATGTTCTACAACATATTTTGTGGTAAAACGTCTTATTTTAATTAATTGTATAAGAACTAGTTGTAATAACTAATTATATATATTTTAGTAATAATTGATTAAATAATAATTAATTAAATATATATTTTCTCATTTCTCGATAACTTGCGCGATATTAATTCAGCTGAATTATGTTTGGATATGTGCAACTGTAAATGCAGCGTGCGAAATGTGAACAACTGTAATATTTAATATTTGAAGTACTTACGGTAATTTATAAACATCATTTCTATCGAATGAATTCACTTCGTCTATCCACTGTTGGGTACATTCTTCAAATTGCCTGTTATTTTCATTCGAAGTGTCTACGACCGCCAAGTTCTGACCAACTAGAAATCTGTCTACAATATTCATTATTTTTTAATAAAAATAAGCACATAATTTGTGTTGTGTGTTACATACATACGTATAAACGAATCAATTAAATTACTTACCTACATCATGACATAAACCATAATTATCATCGTGTTCGTAAATGCATTGATTGGCCCACCTCTGTGCAATCATTTCTAATTCATCATCCCAAGCCTGAGAAAATATATGTAAAATATCAAATAAATATAAATTAGCATATTGCCTTATACATTATATCTTACCAAGTCCGGCATATTAAGTGCCGCTCGTTGTGGACCTGGGTTTCCTCTGGTCTCTTTACCCGCCGCAACTTTTCGCCTCAATTTATTGTGCATATTTAATATCTCCTGCCTTTCAGCGTCGCTTAAACCCATTCTTTTCCAATTTCCACATTCTTGCGATGGCTGAGGTGACTGTGATATAATATTACACGTAATTGCATGCAACATAACTCTACTGAATGTTACGACGTTTTAAGTTTAAAGAAAAATATTTCATGAAGCTAGAATCGACTCTGTTTATTTCAAGAAAACAATTGCTGCGTTGCAATTTAAATCAATTTTAACTATTAGACTATTTTAACTAAGTCGATTATTTTAACTTTGGTAGACAGTTATTATACATAAATATAACGATAGTTACCATAAGTGCAAATATACTTACTGTAAAAATTTCATTTTGTTTAACAAGTATGTAAAATTAGTATTCGATCACTTGCACACTTTTATATCGAATAACAGATTTTTGTCGCGAATTTTTGTGAGTCAACGCATTCAGAAAATGTAACTTCAATGATTTTTAATTCGGAGTGGAAACGAAAATTATTCGTTGCCATCACATCTTGTTCGTGACATTATCAATAAACATATCCACACACATACAGTTATAAATATATAAATATTTCTACTTACAGGATACTGGCACATCGTATGAGGTTTCTCTCTTATTGAACATATCTCTAAATTACAATAATCTTCCGCATACGCTCCCGCAATGATAACCGTAAAAAACAACATCCAACTAAACATTTTTGTTATGGTAAATATTTCTTTTTGGTTCTTTCTGTTCAGCCAAACTGTGTTATTGGTAACCTCTTGGCAACTTCTATAAGAATTTAGTGAAAGTTCTCACTATATATACCCGACGAAACGTGCACCGGACGGCATTATCGTTTTTATTAGTTTTTCCGTATTGCCTTTTTATTGTTATTTTCTCACGATTCTTGCACATGTTCATCTAGCTCTTATCTTTTCAACAATCGCTTGAAATATAAATGAACATACATAAAATTTATTTGACCTTCGTCCTGCAACCGTGCATTTCTGTTTACGTAACTTTATAGTTAATTTTTACATAAGATACGATGGATTTGAGCCTGAGTGTTGTAAAGGAAACTTCTCGCCGAAGTATTGTTTCGATTTTTTTCTTCTTTCTATTACAAGGTAAGTAGAATAATGCACACAATCGAACATTTCGAAAACGATAGAAGGTAAAAATGTATACATTGTTTTGTTTTTGTTCACTGACTACATTTTTTTTCATGAGAACATGAAAGGTTTTATTTCCTCATGTTAAACAATAAGCGATTCGGTGAAACTTCCGAAAACGACTATGTTCAAAGTTTAAGCTAACGATTTAGCTTAAACTTTGTAAATAGGCTTTTTTTAAGCGAGTAAACAAGAATTAATGAAAAGCGTTGTTAAAGAAGCGAATATTGACATCAAGGTAAATCTATGAAAGGTGAATCTTCAAAAGAATGTTGAAGCAAAATAGAAGAGATCTCAGCAAATCTTCACTTGATTTCAATAAATTCATTTACGTGGAAACAATAATTTCTTCTTTTAAATATCGAACATTTTTTACTACACTTCCTGATATTTTCACTTGTATACGTACATATATTTACATAAATATAATCCTATAATAATATTTTAGTTTCATAGTTTATAAGAAATATATGAAAGGGTAATTATCTGGTATAGGGGAGGCAGCTCCAATGATTTTAATCTTAACATATGTTGTCAAGTTCACTGCCCTGAGTAATATTCAAAAGGCGTTCATTATTTAATAAAAAGTTACTAATGAAAAAAGTTTTATAAACGAAACGTAATTTTGATATACAATATTGAAATATGGTAAACAGTACACGTATATGTGCGGAGGAGAGACATAGGAATAGGCACCTTTTACCATATTTCAATGTATGTTGTGTAAAATTACATTCCGTTTATAAAATTACATTCCGTTTATAAAATTTTGTTTCATTAATTTTTTAACAAACAATGAGCACCAGTTAAAACCTTTTGAATGTTACTCAGGGTAGTGATTTTGACAACATATGTTAAGATCAAGATCATTGGAGCTGCCTGCTCTATACCCGATAATTACCGAAATCCTTTTGAGATGCTTATTCTTAATCTAAAAAGAATCTATTTACAAAGTTTGAGTTAAATTGTAGCATGACGTTTTCGGAACAACAGTTAATTGAACAGGATAATAATCATAAAATGATTATAAAAATCAAAGAGAAAGAGAAAAAAGTTGTGCGAGATTCAACTTCGCACTTATTTCAAAACTTATGGTTACAGCGAAAATCGAAAACGTTTTATACTTAGATTTTAACCGTTAATTGAAGCAGTCCCATATGTCTTCTTCGCTACATACGGGTGACTCGTTTCGCCTCGGGTCATTTCTCATTCAAATCCGGCGTTAATAAATCTGAGAGTTTAGAAAAGCGTGAAGAGCTCTCGCGTCAATTGAAAAATCACAACCCCCGGGATCTTCGGCTTATCATTATAGTGTCAATGGGACGAAAAAAACGGCTCGATGTCGGGGGCAGCGTGCACTTCACTGAAAAATCATCGTTTTTTTCCCTCCACCCTCCTTCACATTCTTCCAAGACTGTCGGGCGTCAAAAAATGGGGGCTTTGGTGGGCGGGTGGCTATTCGGATCACTAAGGGAGGTATGAATGGAAGAGCCAGAAGTCCATTCACGCGCGCACCTGACTCCGAGGATCGAGTCGTGAGAATCGCCTCGGAGATTCTTCAAGATCTCTTTCTTCCGCGTTTGGCTTCGTAGATGCTTGGACATCCCCGGGAATAAAAAGGAGTGCGGTGATTTTCTCCGCGGCGACTCTCGTTTCTCCGGACACTTCGCGCTCTCGATTATGTCGCAGTGTGAGATTTTACGTGTTACGTGTGAAGATTCGCGTGGATTATTAGCCGATAATACTCAACATATGACATCCAGTTAATATATCGCACATTAGATCTCTTGTGTTTAGCAAATAATATGTTGAAGTCAGATAATGAATAATGTTATGCCAGTATAAAATGTTCCTGTGCCAGAAACCAGAAATATTTTTTCAATGAAAAGAGTGAAATTTCTGTATGGAGACGAATTTGGCACGGTCATGTATGTAACATGCGGGTTCTGGGAACGGGCTAGAGAAAGAGAGAACATCGTAAGTAGTACGTTAAAAGTGGCCCAGCTCTGTTAATGGAAGTAGTAAGAAGGGTAAGGGGATCCTCTTGAAAAGCTTTAGAACAAGGTTTGGCACCTGTGCTGTGTTTTGTACGAACTTACGTCCCTCTATTTTGAGGGATATATACCTGACCCGGAACAAATTAGCCGCATACACCGAAGGAATCAGAATAGAGAGATGCTGACTACCGGATTCTCAGTTGTTCTCGCATGTGCCGGAAATTCAATTCGACACGCGTTAATAATCATCTCGCTGCTCAGAGCCGGAAAGATCGATCTCGTGAGAATACAGCGGATCTTATTACACTCCTCCTTGGAACGCATATGGAAAATAATTACGTAACTATTGTCTGTCCCTGTCTCTCAAATGTAATAAGAACTGCAGACTATGTAATGGCTCGCTCAAGGTTTTAAGCGCGAGTACCCATAAATGTCAAATTAAAGATAAATGTAAGTGTCCGGACTACGGACCATAAACTATAAAATGACGATAAAAAGATTGCTATTATATATTTCACCCATACGAGAAAATTATCCAGACAATACGAATGTCTAAAATAAATCTAAAAAACGTCTTAGAGACGCTTGAAAGACGTCTCCAAGACGTTCTATTTGTTTTAAAGATCTTTTAAACGTCTCTGAGCATCTTTTAGACGTTTAAAACAAGCAGACCGTTTTCAAAATGTCTCTACATCTTTTAGGAATTCATGCTGTCTGAATAATTTATTTCAATATGAGCTTAAATCATCTCGAGCATCGCGAGAAAAGGACTCGCGTCATTTCTCGTTTCTGACGTCGTAATCTTTGCGAACTTTTGTGGAATTTATTTTACAGTGCCGATCTCATGTTTCTTTGATCGCCAAGGTCGCGGTGCCCGGAACTCAAAATCGATTTTGTGCTTCTTATCGCCGCTCTCGCACCGCTTCCTGATCCTTAGTATGAATATATTCGGATTTTCCTCGAGGGCGATAGGATTTTCCACTCTCGGTTTTCTACTCTCGTCCGCTTCAGGATACAACGTCATCGTGCGACAATCCGCTTTCTTCTCGCAGGAGCTCTTCTCCGCCGCGGAAGCGTCTTCTCGAGGAGTGCGGCAGAGCTCCAAACTTCCGTTAGCCATTCCGAACGAGACGCCGTCGTCGCACTTCTTTAAACTCGACGTTGACTCTTTCACGGTTACGTCTTGGCCAACGCATTCACACGGAGGATCGTACTCCTCTTTTACGGGCTCTTTGTGCATCCTGATGATGACGCGATTGTCATTAATGATAGCTTCGATCTCTTTGTATGGTTGACCCTTTCTGACGATCTCCGATACGATTTTGTCGGGTAGACACTGCTTCGACTCAAGTTCTTTTAACTTCAAACTGCTTTTGCTACTGGCATACTCTTCAGAGAGAATTTCTCGGGACGAGCAAGTTATTGCAGTCTGCGTCTGTTCGGACAAAGAAGTCGAATATATCTTAAACGAAAGCTCTACGATCATAGTGCTTAGAATATCGACAAGTAATTGACGATAAATGTGTAAAAGGAATGCACACTAAGCTCCAATAGTTCTTTAATTTTACTATGCTAAATTTTGCTCATTCTTCCAATCATTTCTATAGTATTTAAGTGCAATACGCTATGCAATAAGATATATAATGTAATATATATGTGATAGAAGCTGTGGGAAGATTAGTGAATTTTAGGTTAGTAAATGCTAATTTATTCGATATGTATTTGGCTTTATCGAAGCTTATGGTATAAAAGACTTTAACAATTTATGTAATAAAATACTTCATCTCCAGATACGATCGAGCAGGATGGTTGAAAAGGCGATTGTGAACCAGATGATTGTGACTCGATCGGTTCAGGGATCAATGAAAGTTGTCTCGGAATCGGACAACCGCAATTGTAAGTTGCTGCGATCATTCTTATTATTTCTTATGGTTGCGAATAGAGAAACTTATAAAGGTAACATGATTGTAAAAGAGAAGAGGAAATTTTGGAAGAGAAGTTACGCACTGTAAATCTTGACCGGGTTAACTAAACGGCAACATGTTAGTAATTTGTAGAAGATGGTAACTCTTCGACGTGAATGTGTTTCCTATCACGCAGAGTTTCACAAATAATCGATAGATTATTTACTCTATCTATTAGTTTCACTAATAGAATATAACCATAACCTGAAACAAACTTTCAGCAAACATGAAACGTTAAATAGACGGAATAACTTTGCTTTAGACAAATATAAAAAATTCCAAATTACATGTAAAAATGCAGTCCTCTTTCGACAAAGGTATATGCAACAATAGCATTTTCTTTATTAGTTTGAATTTGAATTAAAAAGCTCAATTAGTTCGAAATAAATTTCAATTAAAATTATGTTACTGGGGATTTAGTATTCCACTTTCTTTTGGAATATTTATGTCTCTCTCTCTCTTTCTCTCTCTCTCCCTCTCCCTTTCTTGTGATTTGATTATTGAATAGGGATTAATAAAATTCGATAAGAAATATACAAAAACAAACGTCTCGACATATTAGATTCTCTTCAGTAACATACAACATCCATTCCTTGTTTTATGAAACAAGATACATGCCTTTGCTTCCTTACAACTCAATTGCCATGCCCGGCGCCGTCTTCGCTATCCTTGCCGGTTGAGAACGGTTGCTCGAAATATTACCAAGAAATAGGGGCGGAGATGCTCGACAATCAATTGCTCATCAAACTGGAGAAAGACAAGAGCAGGCTGAGAAAGAAACAGCGCGAATGGAGTCCACCTTGCGACTGCGTTGAAATCCAAAGACCGACGAGCAAAACAGGCCCTAAAATCATCAACGCGCATTACGAAGATCGCGTTGTATTTCGCGTTCACTCCTCCTGTCAGATCGGCAAGCAGGAGGAATCCGCTTACAAATCACAAACTATCGCTTATAAAGTTCGTTCTACATTGTTTAAGGATTTAAAAGATTGTCAATTCTTGACTTGCACACATTTGATATCATAAAGTATCATTAAATTCGATTAAATGATTCAAAGTAATTATGCAAAAGAGAATTATGCCTATTTTCGACTTAGTTAACATTTTCTCAGTCCTTTCAATAATCTCTATTGAGGATAAAACGTATTTTCAATGTAAAAGACGGAAAAATTAAAAGAATTTCTAAATATAATTCTCTCTTCTGTAAGAAAGTAATATGAGAGAATTAAATTTCCGTAGATTGAATCGTGCAGAGATGAACAGGACAGTCACCAATGTAAGACCATCACGGTGTATCCTCAGAAAGATGTTCCAGGCTCCCAAGAAGTATACACTAATCATATAACAGAGGGAAATGAGGATATCTTCTTGTTGCGAGTAAAAAAGAAAAGTGAATCGCCCGATCAGAAAAACAGAAACATCGAGCTTGAACTCAGGACACCAAAAGCACCAAAACTGCCAAAACCTCCAACACTGTCACCCACGCAATCTACGGTTACATTAACACAACCAGAAGTTGTGACCGATTTCATTGTGGAAGACGTAAACGAACATCTGAAGAAACCTAAAAAACTTAAGAGACAACTAAAAAAGAAGACGAAAAAGAAATAGTCGATAGCTGTAATGCAGAGAATAAGAATACAAGAGAACGACGTAAAAATAAGAATCAAATGTAACTGTATTAGATCGCACGAAAAGAATTAGATCGCTCGGTTAAAGAACACGATTTTGGAAGTGCTTCCTTATATTGTATCTTTCTATGTAAAGTAGAAGTTGATATTATACGCATATTTGCGTTATTTATATTATTTTATCTTTCTGTAAATCATAATTTGCGTAATTCATGGATGTTTTAATTTATTTCACACTTCCTTTTTGTAAAAAATGTACATTTACTGTGATTATATATCATCCATCATGGACGGCTGCAGTAGGAGGAGGTATTCCCGTGGTAACAGCGGACGCAGCGATTTTATAATGAGCGCGACTCAAGAAATTCTCCGGGTACTCGAAGAGCGCGTGTCTGTGTCTCGGACGGCCGACGACGACGATTCAGGGAGTATTCGAGGAACTTCGAGCCGCTCGTATGTGCTGCCTCGGCATTGTCACAGATTCACTCGAGGTCGTCACGGTCGGTGGGTCACGAGTACATCTCGCTCGAGTCGTCCCGTAGACGTCTGCCACACGAGATATCTGTCACGACGCACAAGATTCAAACATACCAAAAGGAGGATGGATGTCGCGATTATCAGCGTGCACGAGGAGGTAGCGAGACGAACCGGCAGAAAAGGACGAGGGGAAAAGGGAGAACGGAGACGTGAGTGTAAGAAAATGTGTGGGCTGTTACGTAATCATGAATGGCGTGGGAGTTCATAAAGGTGTCGTTCGCATTCTGTGTGGTCGCGTTTAAGGGCTGGCGACAATGGCGTTGGCCAATAAATTAGGACGCCACGAGGAAAGGACGCGCACTCTCTGGAGACGAGGAGACAGCGTGACGAGCGCAATCGCGACGACGGATGAAAAGCTACTCGGTTTCCTCCGACTGGAAGAGAAGATGCCTGCGGTCGCTGATGAATGAAGCGACAAGTGACCGCGATATTATACGTGGGACAACTCTCTACACGGGCAAAGGACGGAATCTCAAGGCGCGGCCTCGGACGTTCTCCGGGATGAAAGAGCGGCGATAACTCATGGACCACTTGAGAAACGCGTAAAATCGAGATATTTTCGCACGGTTCGATATAAACGGAGATTGAATGCGTATGAAGGAGCTCGTAACACTTCGATTAAGGAGATTTCTTGCGTCATCGTCGATCGACGTCGTACGAACGAGACGTTTCTTTCGAAAATAATCGTGTAGTCATCTCGATGTGACGCAGTGTGAATTCAGTTTGGCGAATCGGTTCGACCGATCTTGATTCGTGCTTGCCCTCTTCGAGACTGAATTTATTACAAATCCGAAGATAATGCTTTAATTTTAAAGTGTCATGAGAATATAACTTCTATTAATCAGATGAGACGAGACTTCTCTTTCTTCTGTTCACACATATATTTACTTGTGCCAACCATACTATTTTTTTCCGTGTAGATTTGCAGCATATAACTTATGACATACTTGAAATAAGTATGTCAAACAACGTTTACTTTAATGCAATATATATGTTTCTGTGTATATACATATGCCGATATAACCTTGAATAGATCAACATGAGAAAGGTATCCATTGTAATGTCGCGATTAATGCAAGATTGTTGAGCGAAATATTAACGCATTTGTCAACATGGTAGAAATCGCTGGTTTTCAAGCCACGGATTTATTCACGCTCGTATTTCCTTTTTATAACGGGTGCTAATTGTCATTGGCACATAACGGGGAGAATAAATAAATCGGCGGTCGCATTCACCGCAGGTGGTGAAGCGCGCGCGCGATCGCGTCAGGGTGGTCCGTCGATCTCGCGCATTGTGACATCGAAAACCGCGACCGTGGCTGTCCCGATCGGTGGATGAAGGGAGAGCGGAGGCCGTAATATCATCATTATATTACGTCACACAGATGCGCACTGATCGGGGGATCTCGAGGCCTTCGTTTTTATATTGCGGTTATAGCACCATTGTGCACGTCACTGTCCACAAAAGGTCCTGACTGGACTCCCGCTGAGAGAAGGTCTACGATATTGCGGGATTGTGTGCTGATTGGCCGGCTCCCTACTGTCGACAGCTATGGTAATCTGTACGCATTTCCTGTTGCGTATCTTCCTTTTCCGACTTCGCTGCACGTCGTCACCTGCCGACTCGGTGATTCGCGAAGGCACAGTGAGTCTAATCGGAGAAACGTGTCGCATTATTGGCTTTCTACACACTTACCTATAAGTTCCGATACACTAACACTTATCTACATATTGACGGAAAAACTTTACTATAGCTATCTTGATTAATGAGGTCAGAATTGAGAAAATGTATGCCTAAAATTCTTACGGAATATATCGGAACAAAAGGTTAAGATGACACTTATGATCGATTGAACACGTTTGTAAAATATTTCGAAAATTTTCCTTTTATTGCACGGAAAAAAAGTAATATATGAACAAATATAAAATGTTGCTGCGTCAGGTATTTTTTTTGTTGCAAATTCTTTTCGTACACTCTGTTGCATTGTTGCTAACGCAACAATATTTTTTAGGTGTCCATATATTACAACTATTTTAGCTGCGACAAACAACTTTTTCCGTGTGTAACAATCAATAAGTAGCCGTAAAATTAACATGACAAAATTATGAGGAAAGATCGGCTAAAAAAAGCTTGTGTGTCACTTACAAGAGTCATTTTATGTCCTTTTATTTTAGCGTATTCCGCAAGAATTTTAGATGTGAGTTTTCTCGCTTCTAACGTCATCAACGGAGAGTTCTGCAGCGAGGAATGAAGCCTTCAATTTGACGAATGCGGAAATGCAAATTATAACACAAAAAACAATTTTCAATCATATTTCAACGAATACGAATCATATGGAACTCATTGTTTCAAATTATATCTCAAATTTGATGACTAGAATTTGTAGTGAATGTCTCACTGTGAACATTGTGCTTAATCAATAGAAGTATCGAACTAAATCGAGTCAACATAAATAGTTTTGACGTTGACACACGTAGAGCACACGTTGACTATCTGGTTTACTTCTTCCAGTAATGTGTTTTTAAAAATTATCAGTTTAATAATCGCGTCTAACGTGAAGTGATCACGGATAAATTGTTCTCACGACCGACGAAAGAAGATGCTGGCAAATCATGTTGGAGCCACTGATAGTTTTGACAGTGCTGAATTGTATTTTCATGTTCAGTTCCACAGTCACGACTTGCGCATTGTGGTAATTTTCTGTCACGAGTGACTTCCCTTTCTCCCACCGAAACTTTGTATAGCTGGAATGTAGAACTAGTTCTCTCAAAGTTACTTACATTATCGTTACATCGTCGCATTAAAATAATTTCATTGTATGTGTGTGTGTGTCACATTAGGTGGCAGTATCAGAGCCATCGCTGCGCTAGGAAATACGCTGCTCGGCAAAAATCAGACTTGAAGAGATCGAGGAGCAATTATACCCTGCAAAACGCTAAAAAGCCTGGGCAACCTAACACTCAGGATGTCGACGCTGTCAACACGTCCAATGCAAATGTCAATCGTGAACGGAAGTGTCAAGGATGTCAGAAGAGAAGATCTAAGAAAAGTTTGGAATATCCGACAACACATGAGAGAAGAAACAGGGAGAAAACGTCACCTCTGTACTACTACATTTTGTTTCACTTTATTCCTCTTTTCTGCTTTCTCATTTTTATCATAAATATATAAAATTTATTGTGCTTTTTATTATTATTGTTATATCTTACTATCAATAATCAATATTGGTTATCTCAAACTTGCATTTTAGGAATGGCCCGAATGCGGCAAACTTCGAGAAGAAAACGAGAACGTCGGAGGCTTCCCAGACAGTAAACGATACGAAATCAACGGTCGTGATGGAATTCTCAACCGTCCAGAAAGTTGTGCAGATCCTCGATAACGACTCCGACGTTAATCCAGCGCGAGCCCCTTTTAAGGAAATTGTTATCCAGAAAGACGCGACGGACAAGAAATACGATTATAACGTCGAGCAGAATTTTGCGACTAACGTACCAACCGCTGAATATTCCTGAGAACTATCTGAACGAATGGACTCGATAGCAATGCGAACTTGCGATATCGCAAATCCCAAAACTCGCAAATGCCGTTCACTTAATGTCGCGCGGAAGCTCGTACGTTAAGAAGGATATTATCCTTCTTAGGAAAGATATTATCGAAAAAAGTCGCAAGAGAAAGTCAGAAATCAAGGTTTCACGGAAAATTCAGATTTCATATTCAATATTTCATAGCTGAAGTATCCAAAGTCGCGCGAGAGTACCGGGATCGCAAGAGCGAAACACTTTATATCTTTTCGATATTCGCTCTCGTTGTACTGATCTTCATTTTAGTCGCGCGCTTATGCAACCGCGAGCAAACAGTTCCGCTGAAACGAACGTTGCGAACTCCAAGACAATACGAGTTTCCGTGTGCTCAATAGTACCGTTATTGATCTCATCGGAAGAACCGTCTGACTTCTCATTATCATTCCATATTTCTCTGTCGCTCGCGCGCTCCATTAATTTTAGCGATTCCTGTAAACAGACACGTAAATATACACTTTAGGATCTCGCGCACTTTAGGATCTTCCGTCTTCTTCTTTCAAAGTCGCGCCGTGGTTCTTTCCGTTCTTCAATGAACTGTCCGACTCCTTGGAACCGACGTCCGTCTGTTTGACTCGACTATTCATCGTTGGCGAAGTTACTGCCGTCTTCTTCGAGTATCTTCGATGTTCTTCCAATACTCGATCGTACATCTCCTTTCCAGGACGAGATGCATGTTCTCGTCGATTCTCGCAGTTCCAGTGACAAACGCGCGAATGACCTTTGAACCTCCGTCGCGCACAAAGCGAATCGGTCTTCACGCATTTCGGGAAATCGCGCGAGGATGTCTGCCGGGATTTGCGAGTCGGTCTTGCGCGCACGCAACACTCGCTCGAATCCGCAGTCTTAAGATTTCTCGAGAATCTCGGAAAACTAAGTAGAAACAGAAGCTAAATGGAAGCTAAATGGAAGCTGGGCAAATAATTCGTGAGTTAGACAGAACGCGCAGAACGTATATTAAACCAGAGTTGGGTAACAACGCATGAATTATAATGCCGTTACCGTTACATGTGTTCTGCTTGTGAAGTTACCGTGCTTTCCTATGGTAATGACGTTATTTTTCTTCATTAGTACGGTCAGGCTGATTAAGTGCAGCAACACTTTTCCTTGATGAGTTTTGCAATGTATTTCGTATCCAATGAAAAAACGTATCTCTTCAGAATTACCAGAAAATAAATTCTCCTTTGGATACGAAACTCATCGAGGAAAACTGTTGTAATATTTAATCGAGAAAAACTGTTACGATCTGTAATCAGTTGACTATACACTGCAAATCGTTATGTGGAAATGCATGAACATGTAATTTTGATCTTTTCTGACGCGTTCCTTGCGGCTTTAAATCGCGTGATTCAACACGATCAAAAGGCGTAAATTATAATTTAGTACGTTTAAACACGTGTTCGATTACGTGACTTGAGACGGTAAGTAGTACGCCAAGAGAGATCCAACCAAAAAGAGATTCAGAACAGCACACTTGGATTCGCAATGCAACGACAACGATAATGCAACTGCATTTTCTCCATAACGAGCACAGTCGTTACTTCGATCGTTACCCAATCCTGGTCGTCACATATCCTTAGAGATCTTTTCGGCCATCGCGTCACGTTGTTACGAGCTCGTACCATATCGAAAAGAGGAAACACCAGATGCACGCTATGCAGGCGCTGTTACATATCGTGATGCAGTCTACCATTTCGCAAGACGCCGGAAACTTCGCATTTTGCCGCGATCCTCAGGACGACGTTTGCTGGGACGGCGCTTGAATTAACCTTCTCCCCTTTCCTCAGAACGTAACGACGTAAATTTCGCGCACAATTCGCGAAACGCGACGTTTGCTGTATGCATACGATAACAACGGTAATGCGCGAATCACAAGATGTCACTCGATGATCCGGCTGTCAACTGCGGCGCTGTTCGATTGCACACGGTCGGAGAAAGAAATGGAACAAGATCTTCCGTCGGTTGCGTGTGACTTCGCGACAAAAATCGTCGTACCTTCAACGCGCATGTGAATCTATCGGTAAACCCAGGATGCTGGAGATCATCGCGTTGTGCAGCTGCGCCTGCCTCGCGTGTCTCTGGTGCGTTCTCGCCTTCGAAGTGTGAGTTTAACCTCGCCGTCATATGCCCGGCATTTCGGCCCATTATTTTGCGACCGTTCGTGATTCAATAGTTGCTTCACTTCAGAGCGCGAGATAAATACTGCGACAGTTGGACGATGCTCGACAAGCTTTGCGGGCGGCGGTGTGCGAAGTGCAGGAGCGTTTGTCGCAAACGCGCCGCAAGACAGACCCGAGCTTTACAAGAGCGTTGCAAGAGTTTTCACTCGCATCTGCAGCCACCTTGGTACAAACTGTCGTTGCTCTCCCTCTCGCCTTGGTCCGATTCTTTGGCAACTATTTAATGCATCTAATTCACGAATTAAAATTATATTTTCTCCTCAGCGACACTTCGCCACCGTACAAGCTTGTGTGTAAAATGTGCCGTCGTGTGAAAGCAGAGTGCATCTGCGCGAAACTCTTCTGCCACGGAATGGCGATAAACCGGTAAGCGTCTTTCACATCATATTTCATTAGACACTCGATATTTCACGTAAAGCATATAACAAAAATGTTGATTTTCCTTCGACAGTTCTATCAAATACCAATCTGCAGACTTATCGTTTAGATAAATTCCGGAAGAAAAGAGCGAAAGAAAGAGAAATGCGAACATGGAACTCGTGACAAATGGGCTACTAACGGTATAACTAATGATTAAATATGGCCATAGTTATGCAGGAATAATCCAACTGACAAAATTCAGATTTTCGGATTTTTATTGTCAATGAGCAGTCCGTACGTCTTTCCACATGAATCAAAGATTCAAGTCTTATGGAAGAAACTTAATTAAAAGATTAGAAAAGTAATTAAAAGATAGTTTTTCTTTTTTACTTGTTGCGCTATTTTTTATCAATTGCGTTTTTTTCATTCATTTTTTAAAGATTAAGCTTATCAGTGAATAGCCTTAAAGAGAAGAAAAATTAACTATACTTGACTTGTTGAACGATTGCGGAGAGAGAGAGAGAGAGATCTTCAGTGTTATTTATATTTTTTGAGTTATGTAACAGATTTTTATCTTAATTTTTTTCAAAACGTAAACATGTGAGTTGGATTATTTTTGCATAACTAGGACTATATGAAATCGTAAAATGATTATGTATGTACATATGTGCGAATGCAATTACGCTTACTTCGCGCTTGTATAATTGTGTACTACTTTGTGGTAGGTTTGAAATGTAAATTTGTTGATCCTTAAGTATCTCTACGTGTTGGAGTTCTCAGATTTTGTAAGAATCTTTTTGTAAGAATTTTAAAAGAACAAAGTTGTTTGATACATATCTAGAGCGTACTCATAAATGCTATTCAATTTATGCGTCTCGACGAATGTTGTGTAATCGATATGCATCGATGCGCGCTGCTCGTTGTAACAAATTTTACGACTGCACGGGCAGTGTAATTTACGACTTCTAAAATATTCTTACGCGAACTCATAATTTCGTGATCATTTTCGCAACCGGATGCTATTGATTACTCTCTAACCGCAAGATGTATTTATTTCCACAGACTCGGTGAGATTAACAACTGACAATTCGTGTAATGCTTGTGCCAATTGCGATATTTTTATCAAACTGGAAACCTTGACGTAAGAATCGAGGAACGTTATTTTCGAAATGGAATATATGCAATCAAGAATTGCAAGAACTTATTGCGGAGATTTTCAATTTTTAGACCAAGAACATATCGACGTCAATTTTTTTGCTGTATTGCGCCTTTTTGCGTTTTGTGTGTTCAAGAGTTTTATCTCACACGGTAATAAAAAATAATAAAAAATACGTAATATGCGTCGAATTAATATTAGCATTTGAATCGATAAATTGTAAAAGTAACGTTGCGAAATACGAAGGCAAAGGTAATGGGCGAAATGACGAAGCGGGTGGGATCAATTCTTCGAACTTTTCTCCGTTGCCCATTACTTTCGAACAGGATCAACGATCGAAATTGATCCTCATCGTCGCAATCTGATCACGTCGGGTGAGTTTCGTTACGAAAACGCCGAGACGGGTGTATAGTCGACGCTCTCTACTTAAGTTCGTGCACGTCGAGGTGTCACGCGCGCGTATACGTCAACATACTTCCTACGTGATACATTACGTATGTGAATACATGATGGGCCTATGGTGGGGAGCCCAGTTTGACTACTACTAGCTCGAGTAAAAGAGGAATCGCTCTGTTTCGAGCAGATAGAAATCCCGTGAACGAGAGGAACCGCGGAAGGTGTCTCTTTACTCGTCGAGCTGTGCCGCGCGGTGTAACACGTGCGATTCTCACGAGCGCCGCGCGATTCTCTCTGCCAAATCTGTCCTGCAAGTAACAAGTAAGTGTCGCGACGTGTCCGACAAGAAGTGCACGGAATAAACATTTTCAGCTCGAATGACTAAATGGTCATCAGACGAAAAACTCACCGATGGGAAATAAGAATTTTGTTACTGTGACCGAGAGAACATTCGTCCAAACATTCAGCTGCATCAAAAGCCGGTTTAAACAACTGACAGCGACTGGCTGAGCAAATTCCTCCTATAGGAATCTTTTTATTCCCACAGCCGAGTTTTTCATCTGGTCCCCAAGTGACAGAAAATTTAGTCACACTAACGAACTTATTTTTTCTGTGTGTGAGTCATTGAGTCACGTCTTTCAGAATTCATGAGTGCTTATTTCGTGAAGAAATTATGAGTGGCCACACGAAGTGACCAAAAAGGCGCATGCTTCTTCCTATTTGCAAATTTACTTCGACGAAATTAGAGTTCATTTCTTTTCGAGGAAACTTTTGGCAAGTACGTAACGATGTAGTCACTCGATGTATTGTTTACTTTCCTTATTTTTTTTGCTCCTTATCGTTCTCCTAATAAGTCGGGATGGAACTGTTACATCATCACTCTTCACAAGGAAAAAAACTAGTTCCTCCACCAACGATGCTTTAACAGTTGTACTTTAGGCTACACTATACAAAAAGAATATTGCAATAAAAATTACAATACAATTTTAATACTCTGGGAATAGACTAGTACTATGATGAAGATTATAATAAGACATAGTAAACCATGAAACCATGAAAATAAATCATGAAAACCATAGCCAAAATGACAATAAAAATGACAATAAACATTTTACTATGTTCATGGTCACTATGTGAAAATTATCATGTTTATGGTTATTCTTACTATGTTTTATTATAGTTTTTGTAATAGTTTCAGTTTATTCCTGGGCTATTAAAATTATATTGTAATTTTTACTATCAATATTCTCTCCGTGTAGAAGAACAATTAGAACATTTCTTGAGAAGAAATGAATGCTAATTGGTTTCAACGAACCGTTTTCTCATGCAAATGTTGTTCCGGGATTTATCATCGTTCGTGTTTCGTGTCGTTATTCGTCAGATATATTCATACCTATTCATCTGCGCTTTTATTTCGGCTGAAAAATAAATTTTATTTCTATATATCACTTTTTTGTATCTAAGAATCAATATATTCAATGTATCATATGTTCTGTTCTTTTTTATTCTCTGACAGTTTTATCTCATAATCATCTCTTGTCGCCCATGCTTAGAGGATTATCTCTTTATATCCACACTTAGTTGTTAACTCTCTCGAGATTATCTCCGATCCCTCTTTCCTTTGCGAAGTTCTACGTGAAATTTCTTTCGTGTATGTCACTCGTTATTAACGATTTAGTAATATTGGCCGCCACGCATACGATTACGATTACGAAAGAGAAAGAGAGAGATGAAAAATTTAAAGTTCAATGCAAAAAAGCAAACCACTTTCAACGGCGGACAGTCAATCGATATTCAGTTAACCGGTCAGCTTTCAAAATGAAAAAGAAACGTGCGTGTACGAAATTTTGAGATAATTAGGAAAGAGGCCGCGAGTGGGATTGAATTCGTGTCACGCTCGCGTTCTCTCCTCTATCGACTCTTTCTTTGACTTGCCTCTCGTGTCTCACTTCCGGTGCTAGACTCATCTTTGTTTTTCGAACAAATATTTCGAAGAGGTAAATAAGTTCTTTAAAGACGAGAACGGGCGAGGTCGGCCTCGCAGCGACAATAAATCGCGCTGCGACACGCAACGTAAACAATACGCGTGTTCTTAGTTACCTATGATATGTCTCTCTTTTTCTCTCTCTCTCTCTCTTTCTCTCTCTCTCTCTCTGGTCAAATCAAATGTAAAGCATCGTATCTAAACGAACAGTCGTGTCTATACAAATAGGATAAGAAGCTCGTTCTTAGAATGAATCTTTCATATTTTCTCTCTCTCTGTTTCTCTCTCTCTCTCTCTCTCTCTGGACGAATTTCTGTACAACAAATTTCTCCTTTATCCTCTCAATTTGTATTATCTGTTTCAAAGTTCTTGCGACTTTTTAAAACTTCTATCTAAAGATAAAAAATCATTTACCGGATAAATTCGCACAGTCGAGGCAAAATATTTGTTGAAATGAGGAAAATGCACAAAGACAAATGATTTAACTCCGTCCTTATCTGTTTCGATAGTAAAGTGTGCGAAAATAAATGAAAGATAAAATTTGATATCGCTCAGCAAATATAGCGAGTCGCCGAGAATCAATTCGATTCATGCCTTCGTTCGAAGGTAAAGAGTTACAGCTCGCGCACCGCGGCAACAAGCGTCCCGTCTTTGGCCCCAATGATGGAATTATTTCTCCCTCGCAACCTCCTCGTGTAGCTGAACAACAACACAATATCGATTCGCTTGTTATTCCAGCAAATCATGACGTTATTACCACCAACACCAACTCAACAGAAACATATAGACAAGCAGCTTCCACCTGACCCGGAAATGAGAAAACAAGATATCAGGGCGATACGGGAATGGCTATCCAAGCAGCCGCATTTGCCGAATCACATGGGTCTGTTCGTAAATTACTTCGAATAAAATAAGACGCGTTCGAGCATAGCGTGAGTTTCCTGGCGCGCAAATCCCGCGTCAAAAATTGCGTCTCGTCATTCTTGGCATCCTTTCAATTGCTACGTTCTCCGCTGTAGGTTTTCAGTATTTAATGTCAAGCGACTTTGTAACTAAGTCGCGAACTTTAATTCCGTGGAGCCCGTTTATGAAATTAAGCAACTGCGCTTTGTGCAGAGAGATATAAATTACACACGACGCATGGCTCATTGTAGACAATGGCAGACTGGAGAGATTCCTTTACGGCTGCAAAAACAGCGTCGAGAGGTGTAAATTAATCTTGGAAAGATACTTCAGCGTCCGTACATCTCTGCCGGAGTTCTTTGCCGTTCGTGATCCACTGTCTCGGGATATTCAAGATTGCTGCGATGCGATGTAATTATACGCAGATCTCGTTACTTCTTCCATTCTAAGTAACTCGAGGAGCTGATCGGCACATCTCGTTTGGTTTCTTGCAACGAACTGGAAAATATCAAGTCGATGTTGTATCTGTTTCTACTTTACGTTACTGTCAATGTTGTTACTGTTTCTGCATGTTTTATCACTGCATCTGTTTCCAAGAAATAATCTTCCCTCCACCAGAGACTACTTCGTTCTGCCGTCATTGAGCGACGAAGGATATCGCGTCACCGTATTACGGGTGCGTGATACTAACCCGGAGAAGTTTTCCATTCAAGCGATAGCCAGACGCATTTTGATGGTGCTCGACATTCGTTTAGCGGAAGAAACTTGCCTGTCAAATATCATGATCATAGACCTCCAGGTATTTCATATTGCTCATTATGCTTTACATCCAGTTACGACTCTCGTTTCTTTTCACATTGTACGTCGGGATTAATTAATTTCTTCGCGTGCCATCTCTCTCGCATTTGATAATACAGATTGGTAAAGTATACCGAAAACTTACATATTTGACGTCTGATAAATGAATGAATGATTTCCACACTCTTCCCACATTTTTAGCTTGTGTCGGAGTTACAATTATTTTCTAAAATTGATTATCCTCACAATGTAAAACGTGAGAAACGTTACTTTGACAGAGAGATCGCGCTTTTTCCTAAAATAACAAACTAATAATGTCCATACACTTCGAGCAGAAGGTGCCCGCGGGGGGTTGGGTGTAGGACTTGAGGTTGAAGCGCGAAGTAAAGGTTCCACTTAAGCGCTGAGAGCATCGAGAGTGCACTCTCACCTAATTCCACCAATACGTTACTTGGAGAATAAATGAAATTATGCTAAGTGCGTGTTTAGAAAAGGTTAATGGATGAGGATATGCGCTGGAAAGCGGTGTATACATGCTTGCGAGAAAATATCTTTTATACATCGAGAGATGCAATCGCGTTCTCAATCCGCTTGCCAATACTTGGTCGGCGCCGATATGAGAGTTGCAGTATCGATTTGTCCAAAAAGAGATTTGCCCTTTCAGGGATTCCACGCGATACATTTTGCAAAATGCTCTCCTACGCAATCTAATGTGCGACGGGCGATGCTGGCGGTGCAAGACAGTATGCCTTTCCGATTATTTAGCGTTCACTTTCTTCACGCACCGTCGTCCATCACAAGCATCCTCAATATATTTTACCCGTTGTTGAAAGAAAAACTCATTCACAAGGTAGGCCGTGGATTTACAACGACGACTAGGTGAAATGCAGAAATCAAGCCGGAAACGTGAAATTGTATCTCTCGTGTTTGCAGTTTCACATCCACAACGGTGGCGGCGAAGAGTTGTACGCTTATATGAACAAGGACATACTTCCTAACGAATGGGGCGGCAAAGCGGGCACTTTACGAGAATTAAACGGTAATTCGAGTTTTTTATTTCTTTTTTAGATTGTTTCACGTTATTTTCCGATAATTGCGAATAGATTGCAAGCATGATAAGTTTATTTCTCTGTTGCCGTTTGTCTGGTCGCATTTCACACACACAATATGTATCGATACCCGAGACTCGATTATTTTTTTTATCCGTAAAATTACTTCTCAGCTGCATGGCGAGAAAGAATTGAGAAGAATAGAGATTGGTTTTTGAGGGAGGAGAAACTTAGTCGTGCAGACGAAAGCGCCCGTTTACCAGATTCGAAACCGCTCAGCCTTCTGATGGAACTTGAAGGAATTCAGGGCACATTCCGAAAATTAAACATAGATTAACGTAATTTCTTTTTTGCATATGAAACATATTTCCTAGTGCTAATGGATTGTAAATTTTATTGGCCTGCAATCTTCGGAGTCATCTCATTTGATCCGATTAAATTGCGGATTGTGGTTGCAATATATTTAAGAAATATATTATATACATATACATTATATAAATAAATATTTTTTATGTGACAAATATCATGTATAATTTTTCACATAGTCTTGATTTCCTTTGCGTGATAAAACGAGACACTTGACAGACGTCGATCCTTGTCGAGATTAGGCTACTAATTAATAATTCTATATTAATTACCCCATCAGTTTGTTATTCGATCGAACGAGCTGTCGTAGACAATTTGTGCGCTGCTTCGTGACATTCGTCTCGAGATAGCGCCACGTAATACTTTCGTGCTGATCATTGTCAGACCCGCGTTAAGACCTTGAGGTAACGATACGTACAAATGTATCGAAGCGCTGTTCTTCGATTTTTACAAGCGCCAATAAATGGTGCTAAAATATCCCAATATAGAAATGGAATGTATTTTAGTTATGTTAAACATGACGCGCATCCTCAACGATCGATCTGACGATGAAACTCGAAAGATTTAATTTTTTCTTATCAAGTGTTTCATTTTACAAGAACATATCGATTTTGCTTCATAACGTGACTCCAACTTACCGGCGCGCGCGCTGTTAGCAGGGAAGATAACATATAATACAGAAAACGGAATTGCGCAATTATCTGCATGTATATATACATGAAAACTGTACTTTCCACATTATCGGATAAAACATCTAAAGAAGTTGCGCACCGTAATTTGCATGACCCAGATATGGTTATCGATATAGTGGTGGGCGTCTAATCGTTTTGCGCTACCTTGACGACTAAATCAATTTAATTCCGCCTATTTCCGATACATACTACACCACGTTGTGACGAAAATCTGTGCAAAATGCATTAATGCGCATTTTTCGCGCGAGAGTATTTGTTAATAAGTGCAAATTATATTTCTCGCAGAAAAATACGTTTTCGACGCGATGTATTGGCATCAGATGATATCGATGATCTTATTTGTCCCGACGTGATATCAACTCACCTCGAACTATTGAACAATAACAGTTCAGGAAGAAAACATAGAAATGCTATATAGAAAAATCTGATAATACTTATTACAATCTCGTTCACGATAATCGGTTATCTGCGAGTCGATATTGATTCACTTCCTAGATGAGATATTGAGAGAAAGTTTTATGAGATAGCAAACATCGAAATCTCTCGTCATTGCAACTTCACTTCGCTGACATTCTTTATCTGTTTGCCTGCCGAGCGGACGGCATGCTATTCAAAGACAAGTGAGAGATATCATTCTAAAAATATCGCATTGTACAGCTAATATGGAAAGAATGTACGCCTGTTAAGATGCTATTTACGTGTCCATTGTATGTCAGTTAATCTTTTATAGACTTACGCGTGGTCTCGGTGTCATGGGTTTCAGTTATGATGCTCTTACGTATCGCGAATTACGTGTGTTTTGACAAATGGACTATTCCTGCAAACGTTTCCCCGGTAGTACTGCGTAGAAATGCAAATTTACGACGTAAAGAGAAAAAGAAGTCACTGAAAGTGCGAAATGCGAAACGAAATATCGTGGCGAGTTAACGTCGCCTGAAGGCAACTTGCGGACGCCGTGATGCACAACGTTGTCTTCTTTCGTCCTCGCTTAAATAACTTAATAAGTTAATGATGCCCGGCCTGATGCATCGAATAATGCCTCTGTCGGGTCTACTTTGATTCCTCATGCCGAACACGACGTTGAAATTATTTTATTTGTCGTGCCGCTCATATGCGCGTCGAAGAGCGCGCTTTGTCGCGCAACGCGCATCCGACTGTTTTTCATTTTTTCTGCTGCTTGTCATCCGCATTAGTAACATCTTTCAATTCAGACGTGTGTCAAAGATGTAATTTCCAAGATGAACAGGATAAAGACAGCGAGCACAAAGTGCACACATTAGCATATTCTTTGTAGCGTATTAGCAAAACATGTATATTAAAAATAAAACGAATGCAAAACATTTGTAATGATCATTTCTGCATTAAAAATGCGGGAAATTGTAGCGCAAAACTGCTGACATCATTCAATAATGGATTACTTAATTAATATCGAGGGAAATCCTCTGCAAAAACGTCTATAAAACGCGTGTTTTGTAATATCTAACATAAATTAGCAATTTAATTTTGATCTATCACGTATTTTGCAATTCCATCTCAAGTTTTACTCGGACTAAAGTGATAACCTCTTGGTACTTTTTGTAAAAATCCATCGCATATCGAATGGATACGGCTCACACAAGTTTCCAGATAATATTCCACTATTGTAAACAAAAGTAAGCTACAATGAGAGCAGACTGAAGAAATTTCACGCGCGAAGACGAACAGAAATTCGTTTTCACAGGGCAATTGGGAAATCTGTAACCGGCCCTGGTGTGATTGATTGTCTTTTGTTTGAGCACTTGGCGCCTATTCCGATTCTCTTCGCATATCCGTCTCTTCGTTATTGTCTATCTTTATGACGTGTCGCCGTGTGCGCGGCAAGCGCGCATTAACTTTTACGCTTATCAGATACAATTACTCAAGATGATTCTGCGAAAGTCATCTTCGCTTTATCGCTCAGTCGCGCAATACACCGTTTCATCGTTAACGTCACGGATGATCGATGACAATTATTTGTAATGGTGAAGATCAGGGGCGCGCGATGTCTCAGCGATAACCATGACAATCAATCCTTTGATCCCTGTGCGTATATCGCGAATCCCGGACTTGTGCTTGGAAAGAATCTCCGACAGCTCGCTATAAAGGTCTCCGCCCGTGTTGCTCTGGCGTTGCGATAAACACCGTTGCAACATAAATAAAATGCACGCGCGCGCACACGCATGCACACACTCAGGCGGACGTTTATTGCGCGCGGAAGCTGCTTTCGCGACGCGCAAGACACACGACGTATACATAAAGTATCACGTCTCAGATTTCAGTGTGAACACATCCGTCGTGGCAAATAGAAGGTAAACACGTTGATCCTCCACGCCGAACGACGACGACGACGACGACGACGCAAACACCGTGTGTTTTTGTGTTACTAATTGTACGCATTAATAGCGTGTGCAAACGCACGCGTGTGTGCACGTGTCGGCATCGAATATCAATGAAGCGCGCTGTCTGACCGTGATTCGCCGTCGCGTTTGGCTTGGAAAATTCTTCAACTTGCTCATATTATATATATATATATATATATATATATATATATATATATGTATATATATACATATGTACATAGAAATGTGTCATCCATATGTTTAAGTTGTCACATTATATAAGTATTTCATCGTGTGATCGATGTTTAATATGCACATACGCATGCTTCCAACAGACAATGGGCGCGACTGTACGTAACAATTCCGATAGCAGTGTTTCCGATAAAAATAGCCGAGCCCACGGTAAATATCGCCGGTAATGAAGGGGAGCGATGCGGCGGCAAGAGGGCGAGAGGAGAAAGCAACGTCGCCAGTCGATATGATAACGTGCGATTGAATCTAATCAAAATACGCAATAAAATTAGACATATGCGCGCGTGCGGACGCGTCACACGTTACATTAGGAGTATTTATATATTACCCGAATATATAAATTTTACTAACGGGACAAATACACCGAGAGTAAATAATGGTTGATCTAAATAATATTACCGTTATTCTTGGCTCTAACCATACTTTCTAGTTGTAAAAGTTCTAACGCGGACATAATTTTGACGCGGCAATAGTGACGTACATATAAGGTTATTATGACTAATATCGCACAGTAGAATTTAATAAAAAAAAAAAAAGTTTTCCTGGGCATAATTTATAGCAAATATTTCCCTGTGTGTGCATCAATCGGTCGAAAATTCTTTTTGACTAAAATAATCGGCGAATCAATAATCAAAATTAATCAATCGTTGTATGTGAAATCACACATGAATTCATCGATCGATGAGATCGATGGTTGTTAATGTTTAATCGATTAATCTCCAAAAATTGTCGCGTACACGCGTTTCTTTCCGGCGAGGATCGGGAATTCGCGGCGCGGTCCTCTCCAGCCTTTTCCGTAAATTGTTTTTAGCGGCGTCGATTTCGTAATGCACCTCCGTGCCAAAATAATTCCGTCGGTGGGCACACGGCGTTATCATCGGCTATGTACATAATCATAATAATGTGCGACGGGCGCCATGGATTACTTATCAATGAGCCACGTGTTTATTTTACCGCCGGCAATGTCAACGCATTAATGCGCCACGTATAAGGCGGCTGCTATCAGCTCCGTGGTTTCAGTTGCAGTTCTGATAGTCAGTCAACCGAGAGGATTGTTAACGTGTGCACGCCGGCGAGACTTGGCGAGCGACCGCGGAAGAGGAACGAGCTACGTGGACCGGCTCTACGTAGGAGGACGCCAAGCGCGCGTTGCATTTGATCGCTGCGAAGCGTGTTTGTCGCCGTTTATCGGTACGTGTACAAGTAAAAGACACACGCGATCGTTATTACACGTGCATCCGTGTAATTTCACGTATTAGATTTCCGGGCGACGGGGCTTGCGTAAGTATCACGCCAATTTACGGGTCCGCGTGTGTATATGTGTGTGTGTGTGCGTCGCTTGCGGACAGGTCGTGGCGATTAATTAATCGGTTAAATACCGTCGCTCTCTACTGCACCGCACGATGCCGCGCACTCTCGCGGTACGTAACACTTATCGTGAAACCGTCAATTTTGCAATAACGACAATCTCGTCCCTCGCACCGCGGTTCGAAGAACTCGTGGGGAACATATGTGAACTTGCTCTCTCGATATCGTGGCTTTATCTCTTCAGAGAAAAACCCGAATCCGCAATCGTCATGGAAATTTTGGTAATTTTTCAAAGGATAATCTTGAGATATGGAATTAATAATATTGAGAGAGAAAGAAAGAGAGAGAAAGTGTAATTTATTAGGCGCTTCTGAGATATATATTCCCTCAAGCGCTTGAAAAATATATAATATAAAAGTATAAAGTGTAAAGCATAAATCTTTAGTATAAAATATAAGAGAAGTATAAAATATATAAGTATTTTGCAAAAATATTGCGAATCTCTAAAGGCGTATAATTTATTTACATAAGTAAATCTAATTAAAACAATTAACTTTGCTCTAAATAAAGAGAGGGAGAAAGTAACAGAAATTAATTTTTTAATAACATAGAATAATTAATTAATTTCTTAATTTGTTTACATCTTAAAATGAGAAATCGAAATTATTTTAGATATTTTCCAACAAATTACATTATTTTAAGACACGATAACGAGCACACAAATAGGTTTTTCTCTGAAGATAAATTGGCGATGTGATCATCGATTCACATTGATTCACAGGATCGTCAATTTGGTAGTCGCAACTGGACGATCTGTCAGCGCAATTCTATCGAGATTTTCATTATAGCGTCTTGCATGCAGTCGAACGCGCTTCAAGGATAACGCGTGCGACTGCAGTCGCAGTTAATCTCGTTCTACGACAATAAACATGAGTTTCCTCGCGACCAATCGGACGGTTTACGCGTTGCACTAACACGACGCTTACGCATTTCCGTTAAAAAAATCGCCGAGAAACCTCTGCTTTTCGCGTCAATATTACATCGACACCGATATTACACCGCGAGTGTGGTTGCTGCAATAATTAACAACGACGACGATGGCTAGTGGTGCGTCGTGCACACACAGACAGACACGCACACACACACACATATGCACACATACACACAGTCTCTCACAGTCCCTGCCACACGGTACAGTGCGGCGGCAGGGTGGATTGATTTTTCGCCCCCTGACGTCACAACGAATCCAGCATGCGCGTGATGGTTAAACACAGTGCCGATATCGGTACCGGTGCATGTTCTCAGAAGGCTTGCTGGCACCAAATGAAATTGAACCGGATGAAATTTACCGCTTCGCGCTGCTTGTTATTTCCCGAGAGCACTAAATCCGACCATTCATTGCGGGTTAATTGCTCCGACTGACGTGCAACTTTGACGGTGTTGTAATGTAACAACTAATCTTTAATGCGATGGTAACCGCGAGGCTTCCCGCCAATTGTCATTTATCGTAGTTGATGAACGGTGTTACTCGTACACACAATCCGGGGAAACGGCCTAAACATTTTTACAAAAACGTATTTCTCAATTACGCGCAATGTGCGTACACGTTCGTGTCTCATGACTCTCGATCACTTTGACGGAGCTACTTCCTCAAAATGATCAACAATTATGGTGCACGAGTACGTAGGCATGTTGCGCGTAATTGAGTAATACCATAAAACTGAAGTTATAGAACATTAAAGTTATTATGCTGGACTGAGTACATTGGGTTGCAAAATCGTTTAGACACAATAAAGTTAGGAGCTTTCCAAACAGTCAAAATGAGAATCATCATCAACAGACTTACGTGATAATAATATAATTAACCACATAATTGAAAATACGAAATAATAGTCAAGAATAATGATATTAATAATAACCGATAATAATAATAATTACTAATACAATCATTGGTTCATCAACAATGATTCTCAATTTTGATAGTTTGGCGTGTCGCCAACTTCCTTGTATCTAAGCCATTTTACAACCTACTGTATACTCGGTTACTAAATGATGGTTACACATTTTTCCAAATAAAGTTGCAGCGCTGCTGGCCGTCACAATTGAGAGACACTGCTGATGCGTTTGCGCTGTAATTAGTTAATAAATGGATATATTTAAAATTCAAAGTCCACAAGTTCGTAACTTAAATTACGGGAGGATAACAAAATTTGAATGTTACATTAATCAAAATTATTTTCACATCTTTTACTGTCACTTCAACTTCAGTCATGACTGATTACGCAGATAATCATACTTTGCGCAGGTATAATCATGTCACAAAATAGCTGCACAATGAAACTTACGTATACGCAAAAATTTCAAAAATACGGGCCTAGGAGCGTTGCAACTTCATTCGGAAAAATGTGTAGCCATCGTTCAGTATACACAACCGAGTATACATCGACACGACCGTTATCGACCTTGCCATTCCGACGAGGTTGATTGCGAGATTTGATCGAAACTGTGATCATCTCGCGAAAGAGCGAATTCCAAGTAGTAGTTACTTCAGACCGCCGTTTCCGACCAACGTTCCGACGAACGACAGGTGATCGTGAATGATGCGCGCGAAGATTGCGAGGAATTCGATTCGCATCGTCGGGAAACGACGAGGAACGTTGCGATCTTTTCCGCAACAATTCGCACGACGCGATATCTTCCGCGAAAACTGACTCGCTCGTGAGAGCGCGAGATCGGTACACGATGCATCAACGCGGCCACGAACGAGGGTCGAGCCGGAAGGGGAGACGAGGGTGAGAGAGGGTAGGACGCATTTATAAAATAACAGCAAGACCACACACACCGGTCGACACGTGGTGGGGGGAGGAGGAGGGAAGGCAAGGGGGAGAGGAGAGGACGAAAGAGGCAACAGCGGACACACGGCTCGTGCTTGTGGTGGAGTCGGAGAGAAGCGTCGGGGTCACGGCGGGTTCATTCAGCGGCGAGCAGTTCGCCGGCTGCTGTCGGACTTGTCTCGTCTCGCCTGGTCTCGTCGATCGCGACCCTCTCTTCCTCCCTTTCGCGTGATCGTTTCCTCTCTGTCGCACCAGCGGTTCGACGGAACCTTTCTCTCTGCACCCTTACCCTACCCTAACAGCGTACGTTTTCACCGTGCGCCTCCGAGGCAGCACCGCACGAACGCCCGTCGAGAGACCTTCGACGACGACGACATCGACGAAGGTCTCGATCGACCTTTTCCTTCCCTTCCCTTCCCCTCTCTTTCTCTCTCTCCCTCTGTCTGTATTTCTCCTTCCGTCGAGGACGAGGTCTGCTGCAAGAGCCGTCGACGAGCACGTCCGCGAACGTCCGCTGTACCCGATGTGTTCCGCGTACTCGCGAGAGAGACACGTGCCTCGACATGACACAGGCTGCGCGACGCCCGATTGTCTTCGACGTCCACCTGGTTGAGCCTCGGCGGCAGCGCGCGGTGACGGTGGCGGCAGCGTCAGCATCAGCGTCAGCGGAGAAGGCGGCGGCGACGGCGGTGGTGGTGGTGGTGGTGGTGGTGGTGGTGGTGGTGGTGGTGGTGGCGGCGGCGGCGGCGGCGGCGGCGGTGGCTTCGATCGGCCGGCGGCCCTCGTAAGCGGAGGTGGGTCAACTCGAACTGGCGCTCGAACGACCAGTCGTTGACAGGTGGTGCGCAGTTCTAGTCGGTACACGCGAGCGCGCGATTCGACACGCGAACCCCCCGCGCACTCGCGGCTCTCCCTCGAATGCACGCAACTCTTTTTCGTCGCGGATAAAGATTCCTGGCCGTGCGAGTCGGTTCGCGCGCGCGTCATTAATCGGCTGCCCGGTAGACCGTCCGAGTTCGAGAGTACACGAGAAACGGGAGCCACGAGAGAAAAGAGAAGGGCAGAGGATCGCAGAGGGGTGGCTGTCGCGAGACGTTCGCAAGCGGTGAGACGTCGGATCCGCGCGCGCGACGAAGCCTCCCCCGTCGTCTGGGAACCCCCGGCGTGACGGCGATTCATCGTCGCGGTCGCATGGAGCACGCGGACGGAGGACGCGCGATCCTGCGAAACGCATCGCGCGAGTCAACCTCCCCGTGACCGGTGAGATCACGGAGAGCGCGAAGCTGGAGCGACAGATCGTTGAGTGAGGTCATCGGAAGGTCGGGCAATTCGACCAACTGGAGCACGATCCAGAGCGGCAACGTTAATCCGAGCACAGGTTAGAGGCCCGACCCGAAGCGCATTCTCACTGCGGAATGCACCCGCTTCCTTCCTTCCTCGCCCCAATGTAACACCTCCCCCTTCACCTCTCGCTCGGCTTCACCCTGCCAGGACGTCCTGGTTGCGCGACAATACATCACCCTTCAGCAGCTTCTTTTTGGCCACCCTCGCGCCCCGAGATACAACCGAAGACGTGAGGAACGGCACGGCGGTCGTTAGATCCCCGTTTTCCCGTCTCAATCTTGCGATTCATGATTACGACGCGTTGCAGCCGCAGCAGCTCACGCGCGCATTCCCTTTCCGTGCACTCCTACATCATCCATCCGTTCTCTGTTGTTCGCATAAGGGAGACATCCGTTCGAATAAGCTCGTCGTCAACAGGCGGGGGAGTACAACGCGCGGGTAATATCTCGTGCGTCGACTGGACCCTGCCTCTTCTCTCTCTTCACTTCTATCTGTTCTCTCTCTCTCTCTCTCTCTCTCTCTATTTCTCCCTCTCTCTCTCTGTTTTCCTCTCTTCGCTACGCGTAGTCGATTACACACGCGTATATACATATACGTAATGCATCTATATATCGCGCTTCATTCGCGCGAGAGCGTGCCACCTCGCCAAACCCGTCGCGCCTCTGCGTTGTCGCGTGTATTCGCGCAGCATGCGTCAGCCGGAGT